ATATAGAAATCCAAGCCACTGAATGAGGTAATAGACTATGTTGGAGCACTTCCCATTCTTGTGGCTAGCATACTAGCTAAAAAAAATAGAAGAGCCTCTTATCTTCATTCAGTTTAGAAGGGATGCACCCCTTAGCTGGTAAATATTTCTGTACATAAGTAATTTTTGCAAGCTTATTTACAATGTAGTTACACAGTCTGGTAAATATTCAATATGATCTGTAAGTTGTTTCTTACATGGTAGAATGCTTGCAGGGAGTTCAGCAGCCAGATACTCCTGTTGACCCAGCACAGATGTGTTTCTCTTCCCCCTCCCCAACCCAATTTTTGCTATTTGAGAAAACTTTTCCATTTCACCTCTCAGCATGGAAATGACCTTTGGTTCCTCAACATCTATACAAACTTTCAGGACAAGAACAGTTTGTTTGACTTTTGAAACTTCTGAAAGTTTTGTAATGTAGAAATAGCTCCCAGAGAGTCAGCAACTGGGAACAATTAAAAGACACAGAGCAGTCACACCTAGAAAAAAGCAAGGATCAATAAACTCTTCTGAAGTCAGGAACACAAAAAGAATTAACCTGATATGGTTACTAAATCAGAATGTTTAAACCAGACAGGCCAACATGATAGTAAAGAAAATTGAGAAGGAACTGAAGGAAAAAAAAGCAAGCATCTTCAAAAGTTGCAATTGCTAGAAAAGGCCAGTGTAAATTCCTATAGAACCCCTGCCAGTGAGTTCACCAGAAGAGTAACCTATGGCCCTCTGGATGTTATCAGAATTCACTTTCCATCAATCCAGGTCAGCACTGCCAATTGACATGGACGGAGAGACAGCCAAAAAACCCTGGAAGCAGCTCGTGGAAGAAAGCTGATAAGAGATTGCAGTGAATCAGATGGACTAGGCATCTGATTCACTATAAGGCAGCTTCATACATTTGCTTTGGGTAGAGGATAAGCTATGTAGCACTCCTTATGTTTGGCCAGGTTTGCACAATACTATACAAAAATGAGGTTAGTAGCTAGTTTGCAGTCAAGTATTTGAGTTCAAACACTATACCACAAACTAAACTGATCTCATTTTAACTTAGCAAGTTGTGAGAACTCAATCTATGTGGTTAATTTACAATTCAGCGTGTCATGCACAATAAAGAATTCATTTCCTGTATCTCCTAGTTCCCATCCTGTGTTCACTTGGATTATTGCAGGCCAGATCTGGCAGCTATATATTACCTACATTGATTACTGATGGACAGGTCTACAATGCAATGATTACCACATAGAACCTCATAACAATTAAAAGAAAAAGCAATACCAAGGAAAACTAGTGTCCCCCTAGCCTTCAAAGCTTTCTTACACACTTGCTCTGAACAACTGGCAGAGATCAGCTGAAGAAAGAATGGATTTTTTATCCTTATGGAAATCAAGTCAACACAGGTTCAGGTATGTGTAAAAGAGAAAATCTGAAGGACCAAGTTAATTTTGTCCGGATCAAATACGTGTGTGTGTGTGTGTGTGAGAGAGAGAGAGAGAGACTTCAAAGCACCCTTAAATCTCTTAGGAACACTTTTGTAGAAGGTGGCAAAGACTTTGAGATGGATCTCACACCATGCTAAGCAATGGTTTACTGTATGATTTGTCAAGTAAGGCATAATTAATAGAGGCCACTCAACACACTAATCCATAAATCTAAGTTATAAACCACAATGGCTGGATCCCTATTTTGTGTCAAGCTAAAAACCAACAAACCATGGCTGGCTGAGGAATTCTGGGAGTTGGTCCACACTTCTTAAAGTCCTCAAGGTTGAAAAACACTGAACTAGGCTAAGTCTTGCAATTCTTAGGCACAATCCTAAACTACGAACAAAACAAGAAGGGCAAGTGTTCAGTCATAAGCTCTGACTACCCCTAACTGTGAAAATCAAAGCCTTAAGATAACCTGTGAAGTTTCTGTAAATACAATCCTGAAAATAGGGGGGGGGCAGTTAACACACATCAGGATACAAAGCACTGTACAAGAGGAAAACAATGTTTCAGAATGTTATCCATATAGGAATAATTCTTAAAACTCTGCAGACTCTCAATATTTAAATCTAAACTTTGCAACCAAAATGCACACTGCAACAGAAGGTTTCCCAGAAGGCATTAAACTTCTTTAGAACTAATTAAAACATATGATTTGCAACCTTCTTGACTGGGCTATATGAATCTTGAGAGAGTCAGTCATGAAAATCTCCATGACAGCCAAGCCACCAACAACCCAAAAATTAAACTCAAGGATCTCTTACAAAAAATAAAATGTATTTGTATGTCAATCCCAAACTAGCAAGTTCCAATTTATCATGTGCTGGAATGACTCCTCCTTCCCACATACACATGCCAACTAAACTGAAAGTCCATAAACCTAGAGCTCCATCAGCTGATTCAGCCACATGCTTTATCTCCAACAACAGAGGGAATAGCAATGCTTTACTTCCTCCATCCTTAAGAAATACACACACACTCTTGTCACATTGTGACAGAGAGGAAGAAAAACATTTAGGCCTAACTCAAGATAACCTGGAGAGGAAGAAAGAAGGAAATTTCCCCTAAATTTGATTTGTTGCAGCCCTATTTTACTAAGCTCCATTGTACTCTAACCCTTTTTCTGAAAACTATGAAGCTACTTTATACAAAAACAGGCTAGTGGTCAATCTGATATAGCCCTGTCTTTTGTGGCTGGCAACAGCTCCCAGCCCTTCCAATAGAAGAAGTTAGGGACTATAACAAAGAAGTTTTGCAAAGAACACAGCTGTATTCGTGATTTACGCCTTCTTGTCTTCAGTATTTAAGCAGCCAAAAACAATTTTTACAGAATAACCATTGGTCCTTCTAATCCAGTGTTGCAGACTCTGATTGGTGTCAGTTTGGTCTTTGGCAGAGGGAGATTACAGACTTACTGAGTCCAAGAGCAAACCTTTTAAAGCAGATGTTTCACCACTGAACATACGTTATCTTATCCTGTCTTAAAAACAGAAAATTCACATTCATCTTAGAAACTGTTTCACACTGATGGAGGGAAGGGAGGAGAAGTAGAAGGAAGAGAAGAAAAACATATTCCAAATTTTTAGACTTCCACCCCAATCCAACCTTGCTTTATTCCCCTTATCAACAGGTTCTTAGAAGAAAGAGATCCCCACGCCTCTTCCTCACTATTCTGAGATACATGGGGCAAGTTTATTCACTATTCCCTTCTTCCAATTGTTCATGAAAACAAGAATTCATCAAAAACTAATTTCCTCAAAGTAGCAATAGCAGATATGATGTAAAGATTAGCGCATTCATCCCTGAAGCTCACTGGTCAAGCTAGCCACTCTTGTTCACCCTAACGTCAGATGAGTGATTCAGAAATGAATGCTGAAACTTTCTGAGGGAAAAAAAACAGGGAGAAGGGAAGTCACAAATATAATACCTCTGTTCACAAAATACTACTGAAGGACAGACCAATTCTCTATTGAGGTGGTACACTAATAGATGGAAGTTTGCAGTGGTGAATTGCAACACTGAAAAAGGAAGCCAATATAATCTAAAAAAAATTCCCCAAAACTTGAAAAAGTAGTTTTAATTTTAATAACCTCAACAATCATTTTCCTAAAAACCACAGAAAAGGGCTATGCAGTATGTTACTACCGCAGACCTCTCTGCTCAGGGACAGAGGTACTTTCCTAATCCTCAAGTGTTTGGAGTGGGGTCCTTAAAAAGATGACATTTTCTCTGCTTAATCTTCCAGCTGTTCTTTTAAACAATGGGCCAATTAGCCTTAGGCTTTTCCTAACCACAAATAATGGGGAATTAAACTTTGATCTTCACCTCCTTCTCAAATGCATGCGGTCAGATTTAAGCTTTTCAACTCTCTATCATTCAACTAAGGGAGGAGTTAACCTTCAGCCTCCATTGCCTCTTGCCAAAGGAACAAGAGAATAGAAACCCATTAACTCTTAACCCCCACAAAAAAAAACCATTAAGAAGGAAAGAGGTGGGGAAGACCACCTCTGACCCTTTTGTTCCACCTGCTTTCAAGTAAGGGGAGAGGGGAGGTTATGCATAGCAACTCAACAAGTTCACTCCTTCTCTACCTTTTTTTTGGGGGGGAGGAAGATACAGGTTAATTATCCTCCCCCTGATTTAATTATATATTACTTAGGTTGAAAAGGATTCCCCTCTCCACCTTGATGGGAATGTGGGGCATAAGAAAAGTGGCTTGTTGGAGACATAAAGGTCAACTTTCAACAACACATGCAATGAAACACTCTACTTTGGAAAACAAATAGGTTCAAGCCCCCTTCCCCCAACTCAGTTTAAGGGGGGGAAAAAGGGGAGCCACTCACCTTCAACCTGACCCCTTCCTCTCACCTTCTCTACTGGTGAATCTGAAGAAGGGAGAAACTCAAGCCCTCTGTCCTTTGGAAGGAGAGATATTTGACTTAAAACCATCCCCATTTTAGAGCCAGGGAGTACATTTGCTTTCCTCCCCCTCCAAATCTCTCGGACCCCTCCTCTAAAGATGGGGACAGCAAGAATCTGTGCCCCTCCTTTAAATCCAAGGGGGAAGAGCTGATCACCTTAAAGCCCCCCATCTGTCACGGGTGGGGCAATTACGCCCTTATTTTTACCCCCCCCCGTCTCTTTTGGAAGCAGGGAAATTAACCTTTATTCTCTCCCGTCTGAGCAAAATAAGCATGAACGTTTCCTCCTCCCCAAGGAGAGCACAAATCAACCGCTGTCACCTCAAGACTGGGGGATGGGATTTGGCTTTTAAGTTACCCCCAGGCACAGCTCAGCAGTCTTCAAGCCCCCCATTTCAGTAGAATGAGAAGGACTTTAAAAACTTCCCTTCACACTTGTCTTAATATCAACCCCCAAATACGAGTAACCTGTCCCTAAAGAGGGGCCAGACCACTCAGCCGCCCCCCCTTTTTTTGGGGAGGAAAGGGGAGCAACTGCATATCGCACATGCGCACTCACCCCTCCCTTCAGGTGCGTTTGCTCTTCCAGCTGCGGTCGCCACTCTCGTCTCGTCTGGACTCGTCCTCTCGAGCCACGCCCCTTATGCCCTTGTCTTGGCCAATCAGCGCGGCCCGTTTCAAAAAGAGGCGGAGGAGGGAGGGGGATGAGAAACGAGGCGAAAACTAAGGGGAAGGAGGGAGGTCATCGCAGAGTAGGAGGCAGCTTCAGTTTGTGTGATTGGCTGCTGCTCTCGCCAATACGAGGTAGAGAAAGCTGATGGGGGGGTGGGGAAAGAAGGCTCGGAGCAGACCTGGAGGAAGATGCCGAAGCGGGGTGGGTGGGGTTTGGTGGCGGGAGGACACGCCTACAGGAAGATCGTGGGAGGTGCATAAAGTAGACGACTGGTATATTGTCATTTTATCACTCATATATTGTATATTACGGCACTGAGTTAAATTATGCATTGTTTAAGCTTTACTTGACGTTATTGATGTGTTAGGACTCATTCAAAAAACGCTTGACATCAGAATGTGTGTTGCATGATAAATAATTTCACTAGGCGCCAATAAAAGCGAATATGTGTAGCTCAGGGTTGAACTGTGGAGACCTCGGGGTTCTCTGAGCTTGGTTGTTTTCTTGCAAATGTTTTGTTACCCGGCTAGGTAACATCTTCCGTGCTAGGATGGAATGGGGTTTGCTCTCTGTTTATATACGGTGGCATGCCCTGCCAGTGTTGGGGGGGGGAGGTTGTTTTGTTTCATTTTTACCCCAATCAAGGAACTACCAGAGGAAAAAAATAAAACAAAGCAAAACCCCCACCCGCACCAACACTGGCAGGGCATGCCACTGTATGTAAACAGAGAGCAAACCCCACTCCACTCTAGCACTGAAGATGTTCCCTAGCCGGGTAACGAAACGTCTGCGAGAAAACAAGCAAGCTCAGAGAACCCCAAGGACTCCACAATTTCACTAGGCATTTTGCAAAAAGTACATAATTCATATCTTGCTCAATTATTGAGCAACAATAATAATAAAATATACATTTGTAGATACATTTGTAATTAGATATGACATGAGATATATGCATATAATTATACATTTGTCATATGCAGGTTTACACTTTAATCCTATGATACTGTCAAGGCCATTTATTTATTAGATTTTTATCCTGCCTTTATTTTTAGTCAATATAAGGTGGCATACATACAGTACTTAACACTCCCACCTCCTATTTTCTCCACAACAACCCTGTGAGGTGGGTTGGGCTGAGAAAGAGGGACTAGGCCAAAGTCACCCAGCTGTCTTTTATGCTTAGGAGAGAACTAGAACTCTCAGTATCTTGGTATTTAGCCCAGCCCATAAACCACTACACCAAACTGGGTCTCTGTGTGCCATGGTTTTCCCAGTGTTAATATGCTCCAATAATATGAATTGGAGCAGAGAGTACTGTGCCTAATTCTGCCTTGCACTCCTGGAGGTAAATGCTGCACCATCAGGCTGAACGAAAAACAATCGATGCCTTTGAATTATTGTGCTGGAGAAAATTGTTGAGAATATCTTAGACCACTAATCATTCAATACAACATAAAATAACTGGAAGCGCTAATAAAAAACCTCCATCTTAAATATTTTGGATGCGTAATGTGCAGGCAAGAGTCATTAGAGAAGACCCTGATGCTTAGAAAAATCAAAGGCAATGCAGACACAATTGCAAAGTGCAGAGGCACCACACTGACAATATATTGCCAAGGCTGTTAACTTTCCCAACTGTAACATGGTGGTGAAAGCCACACCAACGTGGTGCTATAGAAATCTGTGTGTAAGGTTGGCATTTGTGTGATGACATCATCTTGTATTTGTAATCTCTTTGGGATTATTCTGGCTGGCTGTGGCTGCTCCACCTTGAACCACAAGAATAATAAATCATTTGCTGTAGATGAAGAAAAACCAGGCTGCTCACTGGAAGCACTAAGAATAAAGCTAATGCTTAAGTATTATGGACAGAGGTAGGAATCATTGGAGAAGACCCTGATGCTTGGAAAAATTGAAGGCAATTGAAAAAGAGGCAGATCAGTGGCAAATCACCAATGACACAACCAGGAGTTTACAAACACTCCAAGAAGCTGTGACTGACAGATTATCCTGGCAAATTAATGTCCACTGAGTCACAGAAATGACTGAACAATAAAAACAAAATTATTTTTGCTGCTCTTTACTAGCTAAATCGCTATGCACTAAACAACTCAAGTATTAAAACAACAACAAACATAGACACAAATTAAAAATAAAAGACCCTGCTGGCAGATTTAAAAAACTATATTAAAATACAATATACCTATGTTGGCCATGAGAAAATTGTTCAGAATTTATACTGCAATTAAAATCGCTATGATTAATGTCAGTTAGTATGCTATAGTCTTATGTAAATGTAATTGAATACAGGTAGTCCTCATTGAACGACCACTTGTTCAGCAACCGAAGTTATGATAGTTTTGAACGAGGGGGACTTACAACCATTCCTCATAGTTGCAGCTGCTGCAGCGTCCCCACAGTCACATGATTGTGATTTGGGCACTTGGCAACCAGCTTGCAATTACGATGGTCACAGCATCCTGTGGTCACATCACCATTTGTGACCTTCCCTGCCAGCTTCCCACAAGCAAAGTCAACAAGGAAGCTGGCAGGAGATTGCAAATGGCAAACACATGATGTTGTGCTTAACAATGTCTCAGGATTCGCTTAACGGCACCTGGAAATGTCAGAACTGCCGTCGTAAGTTGGTGCGGTCACGTGATGTCACATTTTATGACTGCGTCGCTTAGCAACGGAGTGACCAGTCCCAATTACCATCATTGAGCAAGGACTACCTGTACCAGCATGTCCTGTTGGGAAATCTAAAATCTGTAAATGTAGTACAAAAACATAGTGTGTTATCAGACTTCGCCTAAGAGTTCCCTGAAGATACTTAGTAGTTACAGAATTTATTTGCACAACGTGTTTTCCATGCTTGAATGAACTATGGTTTTACTCAAGGAAGCCAATTGCTCAGGTTCAGGTACAGGTTATTACAGATTAGCCATTAGGCCATATCAATTGCTTAGGGTTTCACAGTACACTAGTGTTCCTCAACCTTGTCAACTTGTCAACTCCCAGGCTGGCTGGGGAATTCTGGGAGTTGAAGTCCACACATCTTAAAGTTGACAAGGTTGAGGAACACTGCAGTACACTGAACCTTAAACTGATGGGATTGCCTGAATCGTACATTAGCCAACAAATGTTAACCTAGCTCAGTCTGTGAGATTAATGGTTAAGATGCTGGTCTATGACTGGACAGACTAAGATAGAAGTTCCCCTTGGTCCCACAAGCTTCCTGGGTGGTTTTGGGACAGTCCCTCTCTTGGTTCAAGAGCCAGGGGTAATGTAATGGTGAAGGTGCTGGATTAAGAGCAGGGAAACCCAGTTTCCAGCCCACCCTTAGCTATGGAATATCACTGGATGACTTTGGATTGGTTACACTCTCCATCCAAACTATTTCACAGTTGTTGTGAGGAAAGAATTGGAGCAGAGAGTACTGTGCCTTATTCTGCCTTGCACCCCTGGAGGTCAGGCAAGATAAATACAGGAAATAAATATATAATTCTGTGAGTCATGCAACCCCACCAAATTGGGTTAATTGGATAAGTTGTGTTTATACATGCTTTGTCCTGGGAGTCAGAAGTTCCGTTAATATACTGTGCTAACCCATTGTTTCTTCAACTCTGGATTATTGAGTAAACTACAATTTGTTGGGATTACCTAACATGCTAAGCTGTAAATTTAACATAAGGAAAGGTAGTGAAGATATGGGCAAAATGGAGAATATGGATTTTTTTGAAGTTACATGTACTTAAATTTGCATTGCTATCAGCTTTGAACCCATTGTGCTGGGAATTAGTAAAATCATAAGCAGAATCACATTCATGTGATTTTCCACTTAGTGACTGCATCACTTAGCGACCAAGTCCCAATTGTAGTTGCTAAATGAGGACTTCCTGTATGTATAACACAGAGTTAATTTGTGAACGGAAGCTCTCCAAACTATAAGAGCAATTAGTTTGCTAAAACAAGAGCTGTGGTAACTCTCCTCCATTATTTCATCAATTCTGGATAAGTGCTTAGATTTGCAGCTGTGCTATATAACTCAGCCTTCCTCAGATCTGTTGAGATTGCTGGCTGGGGATTCTGACATTATCATCCAAACATGCCTGGAATGCACCAGACAAGGAAAGGCAGCTATTATTGGAATCATTACGTGTAATTTAGGCTGTTTCCTGACTGCCAAATTGAAATGCCCTCCACCCATCCTTGAGTTGGCCCAAGCTAGACCAGCATGAACAGTGGTGTCCCCACTGCCAGTCTCTAGCCTGCCTTAATTGCCTCTGCCTTATCACTGCAGACATCTGGGTTCCCTCCAAGGTAGGGGCTGAGAATCCTAATTTTATATACCTTGAAGCTGTTCTTGGACAGTGTAGAAGAAGGATGAAAACACTCCCCTAGCACTGGAATGACTAAGGACAATTTAAGCCTGTCGTACTCATGAGCTGGGGACAAGCTGAAGGCAATGCCATAGGGATAGGGGGAAAATAAATATTGTCAGGGTGGCAAGCTTGTCTCCTGTTTAGGTGCAAGTGGGAAAGATCTTGAAGAAATATAAATATAAAGGCTTTCCACTTCTGCTGGCTTTGCGGGTTTCTATGGTAACTCCTCCAGACATGGATTCTTGGCTAGTGAATAAATCCAGAATCTGTCTGTGACACCAACTTAGAACTTTGTCTCACTCTTCAGTTGGGAGCCCAGCCTAAGTCGGCAGTAGGCGGTGGCTCGGCTTTGATGGGCCAGGATCTAACAGTGGGGATCCCATGGAAAGGGGTGAACAAACAAGCTAATCCCGCCACAAAATACCAAGAAGAAAAGCAATCGTATCATTTCAAAAACAATAGGAAAATCCAGGGATTGTGTAGAAAATGATGGCTGGGAAATTGGTAAGGAAGTGTCTTTTTGCATGCATAGCTGAAATGATCGTTCTCTTTCCCCCTTCAAAGCCCTTCTCAAAGCCCACTTTGAGAATTTGTTTGGATTATATCAATCAATCAATCAATCAATCAATCAATCAATCAATTTTATTTCAGTCATAGACCAGCATATAACCAATGACATAGCTCTTACACTACAGTAAGTATAAAAACAAAAATCATGTTAATAGCATTGTTTGAATTATATCCTTGATCCAAACCCCAGCTGAAACCAGTCTAGATTTGTAGACTGACTACCTCTTCTTCCCTGTCATCCTCCATCTTGTTGACTTAACAGTGCAATTCTCTACTTGTTCTTTTCATTACATTTCATGGAGGCTATTGGCAGGTGAGTGCATGTGGGATTACATCCTGAAACATCAAGCATCCAGTTCATGACAGGAAGGCATCAAAGTAATTCTTTCATATGAAGAAGAAAGGCCTTGACTTCCACCTTAGTGGTGTACTGTGGGAAGCACATGCCCACGTGTGGAATGCTTGAGACCTTTTAATGTCTGAAGCAGATCAAGTGAAAACTGTGCTCCCCCATAACATTAATACACTGAAGACCTAACAAATGCGGTCTTCAGCTTTATCCAAAATGCCCAGTGACTTCTCATCTTCACCTGGTCATGGGCCAGTAGCAAGTGTAGAATCAAGTTCCAATATCATTCAAAAATTCCATGAATATAATCTTTAGGATGCTGCTGATGTAGCCTTTTCCTCTATATCCTCACACAGTTTCCTGAAACGTATATCGGCGATTCCGAGGAAGTATGTAGAAAAAATCCATCTGGAAAGAAACATCTCATGCCCCAAAGAGACATCAAGTCTGCAAGCCTCTTGAGTTTTGATAATGTATCTCACGATAGTGACAATTTGGTGGATTCTGGAGAACTGAAGGAGGTACAGGATAGGACAGAGATCAGAGAGAGATGGGGTTGCATAGGCTGTCACTTTGAGGGGAATAATAATAATTTATTAAACATGTATGCCACCTAACTCCCAATGACTCTAGGCAGCTCATAACAATGAAAGAAATTACAATAAAAGCAATAAAAGATGGCAAGCGTGACCGACCAGGTGGAATGAACTGAGGGGTCTCACTCTCCCTGGCCAAAGGCCGGGGTGAAGAGCCAGGTCTTCACAGCTCTTCTGAACAACAGAGTGGGGGGCCATACAGATCTTGGGGGGAACCTTGTTCCAGAGGGCAGGTGCTGCCACAGAGAAGGCACATTTCCAGGGTCCTGATAGATGACATTGTTTAATCGAAGGATCCCAGAGTGCACCAACTGTCAGCCTTGCAAAGTAGTCCAGACAAGAAGCACAACCAGGAGTACTAGCTGTATCTTTATTGTAAGGTTACATTAACAGAATCTTGCAAATCTGAAAGTACATCTCTCCCCCCTCGCCTTTAAAGTCCAAGAAACTAGAGAGGGTCCCTTCTGAGACGTTTGCCACACTCCCATTTCTTCTGCAGGCTCAGCCACCTCTTATCTGACTGTTGCCTAGTCTGCGGCTCTTCCTCCTGTCTCCCAAGGTCGTTCCCACAGACCATTACACCAACCTTGCAAGATCGAAGTGGCCAGGCAGATATGGGAGACAGGGAGTCCCTCAAGTAACCAGGCCCTATGCCACATAGGGCTCTATAGGTACTATCTTGTAGGGCTTAAGCCAAAGATCCATGGATATGCCAAATATCTCTAATTCGGAGAGAATTTCCAGGCAGCATATTTTCTAGATTCAGTCAACACACTAAGACAAAAGATTGCTTGCTTGTTTGTTTCTTAGAATGTTGAATCCAGCCTATATGGTTCGCAAACATGGTTTCTTGTTTAGTCAATTGTGTGTGAATTTAGCCAATTGTGGCTTGCTTGGTAAACCATGGTTAAATAAACAATAGTTTAGCATGTTGTGTGGACTACAGCCAGAGGAATGGGGAAATAGTCCAGCAGCACGTTGAACTCTTCTAAGCTCTGAATAAGGATAACCACATATCTCAAGGACTGCATGTGGTCATCACAATAAAACACTCCAACTTATTCAGACTTGCATCACTTTCTCTGGCAGTCATGAAGAGATGCAGGTATCCACTATCAATTCTGTATCAGTGTAATTAGAGTATTTGTCAAACATTAGCCACAGTTTGTTGGCTTGTTTCAAGCCTACTGCAGCTAATCGTAGCTGTACTTTGCTGGCTTTGGGCAATACAGCAGTTAAGCAAATCCCAAATCCAGAGTTTCTAAACTTCTTGTGCTGGCTGTGCTGGAGGAATGGGGAAGACAGGGACATCTGCAGGAGGTCCAAAAAGTCAAGAGGGAACCCATGACCACACAATTGAAACCTCTTCCCTCTTTATCGTGTATTGAGCACATGGTGTATGTTAAAAAGGGGCAAGACTTCAATGGTGCAGTCATCGCTGCCATCTTGACTTTTTTGACTCCCCTGCTGGCAGCTTGGGGAGAAGAAAACTACAAGATCAAGGGGGAGGGGGCTAGGCATGGTCCCATAAAAACAAACCATGATTTAGCATGGCATTTAAATGCAGCTATTCCTGACACCGGTGGATGGTACTTGAATTGATTGCTGACTGAGTCAGAGATGTGAAGACCCAGAAAAGTTTTTTGGGAGAATTATTTTTTTCCAAAATAAAGGGCAAGAAGAATTACAAACTTTTTTTTTTTTTTAATCTGAAGGACTCTGTGAATCATACACCTCTTCTTCCTCCTCCTTGCTCAGTTTCCCCCCCTAAAATTTACTACTTTCTGTATAGCATGATACAAGGAGAACAAAATCCAGAATACATAATTTGTTTTTACTGTAGTGTTGATGGTGTCTTCTCTTTACAGCATTAAGCCAGTTTTGTAGCTGACGTTGCTTTGTCCAGCATTCTGCTGCTAAAGTTGCTCAGATTTGCCAAAGTCCTGGCTTTGCTTGGGTGGCGACTACGGTGGAGACTAGCATGATCTCTGGCCATATTGATTGAGACTCCTTTGGGCTTGTGGATTCCAAAGAATTGGAGAGGGCGCTCAGTTGTAATGTCCTCTACCACTTGTGGGCTCAATCCATGCCTTTCCTGGCTCTTGTGGTCAGCTGGATCTAGGAGGTGGTCAATGCCTCATTCCAGTAGAGAGAATTGTCTTGAACGGGCCTGTGGTGCACCCCTTCCTTAAGAAACTCTCCCTGGATTCTTCATCTATTTCAACAAGAATCAACTCACCCCAAAAGAATACTGTAGACCTGGCTACAGTAACTTATGTCCTCATCACCACCCATCTTGACAACTGCATGGCATTGTACATGGGGCTGCCCTTGAAGACCACTTGGAAATAGCAAATGGTCCAGAATGAGGTGGCCTGTGTGCTTTTTGGCACTTATTGCTGGGAGCATCTAACATTGATTTTGTGGACCCTGCATTGGTTACTGATTTGTTTCTGGGTATGGTTTAAGGTACGTACTAGTATTGACTTATACAACCCTTTCTGGGATACCTGGGTACCTTCAGGAACTTCTGGTCCAACCAGTATTGGCCTGACCAGTTAGAACAGCTAAGGAGGAAACTTCTTGTGATTCCTGATTTCTGATTTCCTCATTCCTGATTCCTGAGGGACTGAGGCTTGTCTGTGGCAATGCAGGTGCTTTGGGACAACATCCTGAGGCGATCAGGCTGGCCTCCTCCTTGCTGATTTTCTGGAAATTTAAAAAATTGAGTTGTGTCCGAGGGCCTTTCCTTGAGTCTGAACGGGATGTTTCTTACTTTCTGTTTCTTATAATATCCTTTATTCTTGTCGTTTTTATGTCCTTATGTTTGGGGGGGGGGAGTTGATGTGTTTTTTGCTATCATTCTTATAATTGTTCTAATCGGTTTTAACCTCACCGTGGATGCTTTAATTTTTGTGTGTGTAGCCTGTACTGTAAGCTGATGAGAGTCATTTGATTGTGGCAGGGTAGAAATTTAATAAATTAATTAATAAATAACTCAGGAAAAATTACTTATAATTCCCCACAAACATGAAGTTAGGCGTGTTGAGGCTGGGAGGAAATGATTCTGTATTATAAAACAGCCTTCCAGAGAAGCCAGATTAATCCTGACATTAATGTCCTTCCAGAAGAAATTAAAATGGATTTTTTTCTGGAAGGCTTTTTAAATGAGGTAATCTTTATATTGCCCTAGATTTGTGTGCTTACTCTTTGTATCTGTTGTTCAGCTACATTATGGATATATTTTGTATATATATTTGCTCACTGCTGAGTCACATGATTGTGACAGCTCAAAAATCTAATAAATAAATAACATTTTAAAATGGGTAATGCCAAGAATGAATTTAGCCAAGGGCTTGCCATTCAGGGTTTCCCCAGCCAAAACAAAAAAACCCTCTTTCTCTATACATGGCTATCCGTCAGCTGGAAAATCCCAGTTTAGCTTCCATTTTACTGTGATTTCCTGTTTTGTTTTGTGTTCTTCTTCACTCCCCACCGCTCCCCATATCTCTACCAGCAGTTGGCTTCTGAAGGCATTCCCCACAGTGAAGAAGTGTATGTTGGCAAAGAGAAAGAGACAGAGCAAATGCCCAGTAGTTACCAGAAGGAAGAACATGAAGGAAATCAACAGCAACAGAAACCACAATATACAAATTTGCTTGATTTTAGATGGGTAGGTGGCAGCCCTTTCTTGTGGGGAGAGACACAAGTGTCCAGCAGAAGCTACCATGACATGTTGTAGACATTCTAAGTCATAATATCATCATGCAAAGCACATTATTTGTATAATGTAAACAATGCTGTCATGATGTGCATGATGCCACTTGGCCCCTGAAGATGCCCATAGTGGTGGGGGTCAGAAAAGTCAAGAAAGTGGCTGTGACTGCACAAAGTCCCACTCTGTTCTTATATGCACAACTAAGCTGAATCCAAACAAGCCATGTTAAGGTTTAATGTGAAACAAAATCCAACAATAGTCTGGCTTTTTTATGATTAGGTTCCACAGGTCAATTAAACATTGAATGAAGATTCCATGTTTGGGACACTCTTCATCTCAGTATGATGCCCATCACCTTGGACAGCTTTAGAAAGGGTTTAGAAACATTTATGGCTTACCTGTTTTACCAGCAGCTACTAGTCATGATAGCTAAATGCAGCTTCCAAGCTCAGAGATGACGTCATAGGAGTAACAGAAAAGGGCTTGTTCCTTCAAGCTTGGTTTTGAGGTTTCCCATTGGATCAATGATTAGCTATTACCAGAATCAAGAAAAAGCAAGGGTTACATGGGCTTTTGGATCAGAACAAGCAAGCCCTGAGGTATCTTATGAGAACAAAAGTAGATCATTCATGCATGGGAACAGTGTCTTCAAATTAGTAAATCCTGAGGGCATAGGACACAGGAAGGAGATGGCTGTTGCTTCATGCCTAGCTTGTCTCTCCCAGAGGCATCTGAACAGCTTATATTAGAAGCAAGAAAGTAAACTAGGTGGACCTTTTACCTGATCCAGTGGGGCCATTCTCAAAGTGAGGATCATGAGGCCTCTTGGTGGTATCAGGTCATCTAAACCATTTCTATTCCTGAACCTTCTCCACATTTTTTTTTAAAGTATTGTTTGTCCTGTAGCTGCAGGAGAAGGAGGAGGAAGAAGCAGCTCACCAAGATGATTCTAGTAGTATACTGGAAGATCTTAGCAGCCAAGGGGTATTTATGAAACATTCAGCATGTGATGCTCAGGAAGGGCTTTGGCCCCCGCCTGGGGACAATACAGAAGAACATCTGGAGCCAAGAGTGAATGAGGTAAGAAACGTATCACTTATGGAATTCTCAGCTACAAGATGTAGCAGTGGCTACTAGTATGAACATGCTAGGTAGCCTCCCAAGGCAGGAGGCTAAGAATAAACAAGACAGAAGGATTGGTTTCTTCATGTCCTACCTGTGAGCTTTCATATGACTGGAGATTACAATAGGAAGGATGGACTTTGACTTGATCTATAGCTCTACTGAAATGTAAAGAAGTCTATCTCAAATTATTAAATGCTGGTTACAAAGGATACAGATGGATGGTTTTTGCCTAGTCTGTTTTTCTAGGTATTCCAAAAATCACTGCAGTGGTCAAGGCAGAAATCAAGTTGCTGGTCAACAGGACTGCTCTTGGATTATTTTAAAAAGCAACAACAGAAGCTTGACTTTCCAATCGGCAAGGGTTTCGTGTTGGAGCATCATTTTATGGTGACTCTGCTTCTGAGTGGGCAGTTGCAGTCTGTAGTCATAGGAGAGGAGTGACTGAGGTTATGGTTGCCCCATTGTCAAGTACCAAGTTCAGACTTCTCTTCTGTGCTTTTCAACATGTTTGTGAAATGTTGGGAGGGGTAATCTGACCGTTTGGGGAAAGGTATCATAATATGTGGATGATTCTCAACTCTATATTGTCACCTTGGGCAAACTAGAAGTTTTGACCCAGCGTCTGGAGGCTGTTTAAACTATAGCTAGGTGGAGGTACTGTTCATCTGTAAACATCTAGGCATTCCAGAAATGTCAATACCAGTGTTGGCTCTAGGAAGGATCATGTTCCCACTAAAAAGAGCACGTCTGTGACTCAGGGATTCTCTTGGATTCACAGCTCATGCTGGAACAGCAGGTGAAATCCGTGGCCAGGAGAACCTTTACCCAACTTAAGTTGCTGGGCCAGTTACAGCCCTACCTAGCCTTGTTTATGGTAACTAATGCTCTTATCACCACATAACCTGATTACCACCACAAATTCTACACAGGGCTGCCTTTGAAGATAACTTGGAAGGTACAACTGGTACCAAATACAGTGGGCATATTGCCAGTGTGTGGAATCCACTATTGCAAGATAACCCCTATTTTGTGATTGCTACACTGGTCACCAGTAGGGTTCTGAGCTCAATTTGAAGTGGTGGTTGTCACCTATAAAGGCCTATACAGCATAGGGCCAGGTTACATCAGGTATCACCTTGCCCCAAATGTTTCTGCCTGCTCTGTGAGTGCAATGAAGGAGGGTTTGCTCAAGGTCCCATCAATGCCAGAGGTGAAAGTGGTATGGCCCGAAGACATTCTCCAAGATGCACCGATTATCAATTGCTCCTAAACATACGGCTGTCCTCTTCTTATTGGCATTCCAGAAATTTCAGAAGATTCTTCTTTTTAACCTGTTGTTTTGTCTGAGCTGATGGTTTCTAGGTGGTCAGGTTTTTGTGGCTTTATATTGGTTGAGGGGGGTGAGTTTTCATTTATGGACTGTTTATTTTATAGTTAATTGTCCAGAATCAATCGATGGGGTGGTGTAAAGCTTTTGTAAATAAATAAATCTGACAGAGAATTAAAGCAAGAATTCTTGAGGTTCTGCTGCAGAAAAAGAGGAATTATTAACCGCTAGCCAGTTCTTTTAATTGGAGATGACCGCAAAGGGGTGAGTGTTAAATCTAAATCTATACTAGACAACCTATATTGTCTTGGCTAGTTGTCAGAGGATTTAGGAATGAAGATTTTCAAGATATCTCATCAGCATTCCAGAACGAAACAAGCCAAATATGGCAGATAAATCTTCCAGAGAGACTCTCCTATTCCAGTATTTCTGTCAGGCCTAGCCCAAGGAACTCCAAGAGACAATGCAAAATCAGTTCAGCTATGTTTATTAGCTACAACCTCTAGCAAGACTCTTCCCAGACTGAAACCCCACCCCCCAAGTCAGCCAGCCACAAGAGTGTGAATTCCTCAGGGAGGTGCCAGTCCCATCCTCTTGTAGCTCCCACGTTCCTGCGTCGAGCTAAGAAAATGCTTATCTCCCTGAGCCTGGCCTTCATAATTCCATTCCATCACAATTTCCCTGCAATTCACAACTCCTTCATGTGGAGCAGTGCGTTCACCACTGCAGTAGGCCTAAGTTTCTTGCATAAATAAGACAGAAAGTGTTAAAGAGTATTATTTTCATTGGGTATTCTAAGCCAGTGGTTGTGGTCACATCTTGTGCCCGAGTTCCCTAACAATTAGGGAGGAACTGTACATGAGCTGTAAAATAAATAAGCATTTCCTGTTTAGGAACGGAACAGATAAACTGTCAGATTGTGGTGTTGTATTCTTTTCAGTGCGCTGTTCATCAATGCTGCATTTAGCAGTCATCTCCTAGTTCACCTCCTTGATAGACATGAGCAACTGTAAGCAACCTGTTGTGTATGGACATATATCTGTAGAAGACAACCTGCTAGTTCACTGGATGACACTGGTTTTGAAAAGATTCTTTTAATTTATAAAAAAAAAATTAGTTGGAGACTGGCATGTTATAGATTCATGGGTCAGCTTCCAACATCATCTTCATACTGAATACCTCCTATCAGTGTTTCTCAGCTTTGGTAGCTTTCAGATGGGTGGACTCCAACTCCCAGAATTCCCCAGCCAGCATGCTTCATATTCTTAGAAAATAAAAGTGAAGGGTGGCTACAGCCTAGGGCTTTTCGAGGAGAAAACCATAAAAAGTAAGCTGGGGGTGGGGGTGGTGGAGGGCATTCCAGGGTGCTGTATGCAATCTCAGAAGAGGGCACATTTACATTTGTGAAAGATGCCACACCCACCACAGCATTCATTTTCCAATTTTCTCAAAAGTGATACTTCTAAGATGCCTTAGTTATGGCAAACATGTAAACCTATCCATCAGCCATAAACAAATGAAGATGTACTCCCATGAAGAGTCATGACAATTTCAAATTTAGTTGATGCGCCCCAAGTCAGATGAAGCTGAACCAGTTATGATGGTGTGACTCAGATGGTATTTATTTAAAATGAAATGTCTTTCTCTCAGGTGTCTTTGATAGATAGCTTTGAATCCGATGGAAAACTCCTGCCAAAGACCAATCTTTCAAAGTCCAGCTGCCCTGAAAGCAGTCCCGTGGACCATGAGGGCTACTATCTGTGTGATGAAGAAGCCCTCCTAAAGGAATCCAGTGCTTCCACCGGCTATTATCCTTGCTATCGAACGTATGTGGAGTTCCCCCGGTACCAGGCTCCCAACACTAATAACCACAGTGAGGGGAAAGGAAGTCCCTGCGATGCCTGTGTGCAGTGTGATGGGTCTCTACAGGAAGAAACCACTGGCAGAGAGAAAAGGGGAGTAGAAGCTAACAATCACTTAAAAGAGCTTAAGGTATCAGTAGCTCTCTGTGATTCTTCCCATGGCCAACCTAGTGGTGGCTCCAGGCCTGGATCTGGTGGGAGAAAGCTAGAAGGACCTGGAGGGAGGCGTTTGAGGCCACCTATCAACAGTGGCCAAGAGTCAGGTAGCACTCGGAAGGAGCAAGAGGGAACTCTGAAGCCCCGCACCCCAGGGAACTCCCCATCCAAGTTGAGTGCAAGGCTCACTGATCCCAAAGAGCCACCAGCCTCAGTGCCACGGAACAGCCTCCTGCTGCCAACAGCCAACGTGAGCAGGAAATCTCCCCAGAAAAGGAAGCACAGAAGTGGCCAAGCAGATGAGAAGGAGCAGGCCACATCGATAGAACTAAAGCCACTGCTCCATGACCAGCGCTCGTTGCCCCCGAGTCCAGAGGAGAAGACAGGACCTCTAAAGGTGTGCTGCTATGGCACAGAAGCAGCAGGGGAGAATACCCAGGTCAGTATGAACCCCATGGAGCCCAAAGGAGAGATTCTGGAAGGGGTTTAGTAGGTTCAGTAGATACCTGGCACTTAGGGAGAGAAAATGTCAACTTTTTAAGATGAGCAATAGCTGGTAGAAAGGTAGTACGTTCTGAAGAATGAATGCTTGTCAAAAAGAGCAAAAATGGCTGTGTATAAGAGTGTGTGTCTGCTTATTTTGTTGAGACTATGTCAGGAGAAATGTACAAGGAAGGAAGGGTCAAGAATGAAGGGGACTGAATATGAAAATGAGTGACTAGTGCGAAAAAAATACTTTGAGGTGATTTCATCATATAGAAAGAATGAATGAGGATCAAAACACAAAACTAGTACAGATTATGAAGGAAGAATGAATGGGCTGAGAGGAAGGGGAAGATCAAGAAAATTGTGGTTGGGTAGAATTGATGAGATCCTCAAAAAGAGGGAAGTGAGAAGTTTAAAGAATAAAAAACAATGTATGAAACAGTATTTGAACATGGCAGAAATAAAGATGATTTCCATGAACAGAAAGGAATCGAGAGATAGTGAATTATGTTGATGTAATCCAGATTTAGCTATATCATTTTTTTTTTTTT